TCTTTAGACTAATGACTATTATTAATTAGAAATATTTTTATTAGGAACACATAAAAGTTTAAGTACACTTTATACTTATTTGGCACATATATGGGACATATTTAGCACATATATCGAACATTTTATGAATTTAGCTCATTTTTTTTCTTAAAGATATTTTATGCTTACCTAGATCACAGGTTTTTCTTAAATAAATCTCTGTTATTCGTAAAATTAAATACGATTTGCTTCAATCATTAGTTAAAACATGGACAATATCGACAACAGGAGAAAAGTAGCGTGTTACTTTCCTCCTCGGTCGATTTTTTCTTGTATGTCAACAAAAAAGTTAAAACTACACAACTGTTAAATTGTTTGTTTAAGCACAACTTAAAGACAGATAATAAGGCTACAAAATAACGAAAGGCACATTTTGAAAAACAATAAAATTAAAGAAATACGAGACTGAAAATTTGAACGAAAACTTACTTTTGACGTTTTTTCTGCACGTCACACCGGAATCAGACCTAACCTTTCCTGTCAGGCTCGGACACACTATGGAGGAGGAAGGGGGAACAGTGCCGACTAAAAATATGTTTGAACCATGTCTATCCGATAATTTGTTTAAAAGTTATAAGCTTTGTTACTTTCCTCCTCTGTTACTTTCCTCCTCGGTCTCCCCTAAATCTAGATCTTCTAAAATTGTTTGAAATTAATATTTATTATATATTTGTTTGCGGTAAAAACAATTTTTTAGTTTTGACAGGTTTTTGAGGTTATGTTTACCTCCACCCTCCTTAACCTAAAATTGTCTACTTGGAGAATTTAGATGATAATTTATTTTGTAGAAAAATAAAAAAATATACATGAATGTTATTGGCGAAAAGCTTAAAGAAAAGTGTCGCGCTAATTCAAATTTGTTTATTTGTGAACTGATGAAAACAACGCAACTTGCGATGAACTCTCAAACAGCTGTTTGACATACACATACAAGTAAATAAAGTAAAGTAAGGTGAGTTTGTGTTAGTATGCGCAAAATACTCAAATTCGTCTTTCGCACTCTAACCCAACTAAGAAGACCGTCCCACCGTTTACCAAGCTATTCGTTCCCTCCCCACTACTATAGTTCGCTCTCCTGGTTCTAGTATTCTTGGGCCCATCGTTACAGCTCCAGTTGTTCCACCTGTCTCTAGTCTTCTTGGTCCACCACCGTTAATTTCGTTTTATTACACTGGTGCCCTCTATTATTGCATCCAAATATTTGTTAGTGATGGCAAAAACTTTTCACGTCACATGGTGAGTCTGAAATGAATTCAAATGAAAACCCAGTAAAAAAGGATTTTTTGAGATAGCAGTTCGGACAATTGAGCAAGCCGTTTGCTCAATTGTCTAAAATGCATTCGGACAATTGGAGTGTTTGTTCAATTGCCCAATGCATTATGCCCAATCATCCGCAATATTTCTCGTGTCTCAAAAGCTGCTAAAATAATATGAAAAACTATTGAAACATTGAAAAAACGGTAGAAAATGCATAATTCTTGATATATACAGAAAAAGAAAGTATAAAATACCTCGATCGACTCTCAATATTTGTCGAATGGTAAAATATAATAGTAGATTTATTTATTATATTTATTATTAAATTATATATATAAATAAAATTTAAACAATAAATTCTATGACAAGAATGGGTAAAATGATTATATTTTTAGAATAAATGAGCCCTATTTATTGTCAATTTTGAAAAATTTCTTATGCTACACTAGTATCATTTTTCTTTAAATATTTCTATTAATTCTTAAATTATATATGTATATATATATATTTTATTTCTAACAATTTTTAAAATTTTATCTATTTGATGTATAATTATGATATATATTATAATACACAATATAAATAATATTAATATAATATTATTAATTAATAATAATATATAATTATAATTATACTTATGTACTAAATAATTTCAAATAATTAAATTAATTTTAAATAGGTAATTAAACTAATTTTTAATTTAATTAATTTAATTAAAATTTAAAAAAAAAAATTTAAATTAGTAAGTACTAAAAAAATATAAATATATATTAAAAACATAACAATAAATGAAATATAAAAGTAAGAAAATTTTTAATTCAATAATTATTCCTTTTTTAAAAAATCAGAAAGAAATCTACTATTATATTTTACCATTCGACAAATATTGAGAGTCGATAATGAAGTGTCACTCATTATCATAATCTTCTATTCTTTACCTATAAAATGTAAAGTACAGCAGTATACTGTCAGTTAAAAAGTGATTTTTCGGAAAACTCTTTCCTTTTCCTCGATCGAGGTATTTTTATACTTTCTTTTTCTGTATATATCAAGAATTATGCATTTTCTACCGTTTTTTCAATGTTTCAATAGTTTTTCATATTATTTTAGCAGCTTTTTAGACACGAGAAATATTGCGGATGATTGGGCATAATGCAGTGGACAATTGAACAAACACTCCAATTGTCCGAATGCATTTTAGACAATTGAGCAAACGGCTTGCTAAATTGTCCGAACTGCTATCTCAAAAAATCCTTTTTTACTGGGAATTACTTGTACTCTAAAATTTCTTACCGATTATGAACCTTTGAGGTTCCAAGAGTATTTTTAAACAAAAAATAAAATAATCGCCGGAGCCCTTTTCGATAAAAATAAATTTTTATATTTTTTCATTGATAACACAGCCCCACAAAAATGAAAGTATCATGTGCAGATGACTCGAGTACCCTACCCTCATGCATTTTGGTGCTTTAAACGCGAATCTGAGGTCATATTTGCTCCATCAAGTCAGAATTTTTTTCTAACCTCAAAAATATGTCAGATTTCATGTAACATACAAATTTTTTAAAAATTGGTTGGATTCACTTAAAACTCCTTCCTTTTAAAAATTCGTCAGCCATATTGGATCAGACATTTTGAATTTTTTAAATTTGACTTTATTTTCGTAACCAGCCACCCAAAAAACCCCTAATTTTTCAAAAAGAAGTAATAAAAAACCCAAAACTCAGAAAAGTCAGAAAAATGTATTAAATAACAGAAGGAATGAGAAAACAACAATAGGGGAGACCGGGGCTGAAAGTGCCGATTTTGAGAAAACTAAATAAAATGCTAGTAAAATGAGAACTTTTTGTTTTAATCTATAGTTATAAACTTTTAAAGGTTTTTAGGATCAATCTTAATATTTCTAAATTTTAGTAAGTACAAATAAACAATTTCTGACTTATATTCTATAAATGCATAGTTAGTCAGTCACTTAAAATATAGTTTTCGTAATAATTATTTTTATTATAAACATTCAAAAGATTTTTCCAACAATCGTAACATTTATAGATTTTTGTAAATAAATAAACATTTCTGACTTAAATTTTACAATTACATAATTAGTCAGTCTTTTAAAATATTTTTTGAAATAATTATTTGTATCGTTAATTAATTGTAAAAACTCTACTTTCTGATTAATAAATAATTTTTAAGACATGAATACTTATTCCGAATGCGATTTATTGAAATTACAATTGACACACATATAACTGACCATTTTTTTACCCTTCACACATTTTAAATGTGCCCTGATTTTGCAAACTATGCATTGAATCAACTTTTCTCTTGATTTTGGGTTGATAACTATTCGAACAAACGAGGCAATAGTAGATTATGGTTATGCAGCGATTGACAGCGGCACAACCAGCCCCAAGCGAAAGGTGCAATTAACCTCGTTGCGTCGACGCTCACTTTTTATCATATATTAAAAAACTAGATAAATTAAATGTTAAGATCAATACACCATTGAATCCCTCGATAAATTTGGATCATTTTAAAAAAAATACCTATCGATATCTGTAAAAATGCAAAAAATAGACCAAAAAGTCTAAACATGAAAACTTGCACGTAAGTGACGCCAAAGCACCAAATTACTAACAGCTAATTATTCTGTGAAGCAAACAAAATCAAAATAGTTGCCAAAGATGCGCATAAGTAAAACAATATTTCTCTCACTTCCACTTTTCAAAAAAAATGTTGTTTTTTAGATATTCCTATCGGCACAACTTATTCCCGGCACTTTCAGCCCCGGTTTCTCCTAATGATTGGGCCACCCACCGATTTTATATTATCATATGTTCTGAATTAAAAGTTCATTTTTGTATTTAAAAGAGAGCCAACAATGCTATTTTCATTTGAAAAATTTAGGTATTAATAAAATTTTATAATTTTTCTTGACTTTTTCAGAACAACTTTGCAAAACGCGAGAAATAATCAAATTTCGGTCCAGAGGGCTTATTTTATTTAAATTTTATATTTTCTTCCTCATTTTTAACTCAATTTCAGTATTTTTTGTCATTTTCGGATTTTTTTTTCATATAACATTGATTTTGTACGTGGCCCAACCGTAAAGTCCTGATTCGCGACCGTAACGACAAAATTTTTTTTTTAATTTTCTATAACTTTTACACATTTGGTCCTATCATTTTCTGATGTTCAGAAGAAACATTCCACTTTAAAAGATCTTTCCAACTATATGTGGAAACATCCGAAATTCGGCCTAGAACAAAAGTTACGGCCACAAGTCAAAACGTGGCCCATCCGTAGTAACTATCTCCTATTTAACTGAGTTCTATCGAAAGACGGAATGACTTATTTTTTATAAAATAACATAAGTTGAAGTTTGACATAACATTCTGTGCATTTGGGCTTTAATGGGTTAATTTTTTGATAAATTTGTCAAAATAAACAAAAATACGCCAAGTAGGTTTTTTATAAAATTAATAAAAGTGGTTTTTCGCAAAAAACCCTCCGCCGATCATTTTAACTTGCGTCATGCGTTAATTAAAATTTAAAAGAATCAAAATAAAGGTGGTGACTCCCCTTAATAAACTATCGAATCGCCTGCATGATTTGAGATCGATGCGGTCTATTTTTTCTGGTAGGTATAATCTATAGTACCATTTAGAACATTAATATATAATATTAAATTATTGTTTCAATAGGCAGCCGAATAATCCAGCAGATTGTTGTTCTGTACTCATTAAAACGGAGAGCTGTGAAGAGGAACCAGATGTAGATGTTGAGGGAGTTGAAGGTGAATCTCTTCTTTCGGATAATAGGGAAAGCAGCATAGAACCTCCAAGAAGAAGGGATAGTTCAGATCCTGTAAATCTTAGCCTTAATTCTGGAGCCTCTACAACAAGTGAGGGTTCACATGATATTGTAAACAGGTTAGTTTAATTATATAATTTTCAATAATTGTAATACAAAATAAAACTATAAGTCGGGGCATATATTCCCGTGTAAAAATGAAAGTATGGCATAGTATGGATCTCTAAATTTCGGCTTGTCTCTTGACGCGTTATTTGTTTCTAACTGTAAAAAGACTGTACTTGCCTGATTACCTTCCAGTTAATACACGTAGTTACGTTTTTTTATTTGTTCGTTTACAAGAACAATTTGGTTATCATCATACGTTCGGGTAGATAACCTGTTTTTCGACTACCTGTTCACGATTCCCGTATATTGTATAATGTTTCCGGGACGAAATAGTCCACCAGTACTATAGTTTCTTTTTTCTTAAACTAAGGTTCTGGAGTTTACTTTTTCTTCTCTTTCTCCCTTCAATTTTTCTGACAATTTTTCGGGGTTTTCCGATTCGCTTACTGACAAAATGTTCTTTATCCTGATGTATTCGGAACTTACTTCGTTTTGAACTGATGCTTAGTTGACTGTGAATACATTTTACTAGCTGCTAACGTAGCTATCAACACATCTATACTCTTTTGTTCTTGTTCTCAGGTCGAGTTGCGTCTGAGAAATTTTTTCGTACGTGTTATAGGTTACTTGCCTGTCATTATTACTGTCACTTTTCACGTTTAGTGTCGACTGTCTGTGCGGGAATGTCTTGTTCGCATATCTTATACTTTTCGGATTTTCCTGTGTGACTATTGTTGGGTTAGCGTAAGGAACTAATCTAAACTTTGGGTATGACTGGTCATTGAGCTGTGGTTGATAGGACTCTGTGGTCGGGTGTCCGTACGATCTTTGGAAGTACTGGTCAAGGGTCTGTTGGTACCCCCAAGCCACTGGTGGCTCTTCCCTAAATTGTAATTGGTCGTTTACGTCTCGTGATTCGTTTTGTATTGGACGTAATATTTTGTACCTACTCCATAATAGACCTGAAAATTTCTCATTTGTACTATTGTTAGTTGCGAATTGAACTGTAAGTGGTGCTGACATGCATATTGAACCCCCCAGGCACGTGTTGTCTATTGTCGGGTATTTTGGTTTATGATTGTCAACATGCCTGTCTTGGTAGGTTGGTGTCGACTGTCTTGTGACTGTTGTCATTGTGTGAAATGTCGGTCATGTAATCGATACTATCTGTGAGACCTGGTCTTGTCTGAATACTATTTCCTTAATCTGTTCCTGTATCACAAAAAATTCTTCTCATAACTCTTGTGTTTCGGTTCTATAGAACAGAAAAAAATTCTAACATTTTGTGTTACTGTAATGTCATAATTATTCCCCCCTCCCCCTGTCTGGTACTTAACATAGGATTCGTTGCGGATTGGAGTACTTCTTCTGTCGACTGACTTTTTACCAAATAATTTACTTAAACTGGTCAAAAAGTCTAGTGTTTTATTGTAAATTATTGGTTACTTTTAATAATTTACAAAGTGTCATAAATTTCCTAAAATTGTATTCATTTTTAGGGTTCCGTACCCGAAGGGGGTACCCTATTAATGATACTAGTGAAGCAAGGCATGTACCCCCCCCCCCTAGCGGCCACACGAATTTATCTAGAGGGCTGAAACTTGGTAAACATATGTATTTTGGCGTGTAGATTACAGGAAAAATATAGCGAATCTCATAGGAATTATTTATGATAGCGTTGTCAAAGAAAAACCATGAATTTTTACGAAAAATCCCTAAAAATGACTATGTACCCCCCCCCTAGTTGCCACATCTTTTTACATAGAGAGCTCAAATTTAGTACACTTATGTATTTTTACGTGAAAATTACAGGAAAAATATAGCGAACATGATTCGGATTAATTTACATAGCGTTGTCGAGGAAAAATAAAAAATTTTGAAAAAAAGCGAATTATCCTCCTAGCGCACACAATATTTGACGAAGGCAGTTCATATTTGGTATACTTACGTACTTCTGCGTGTAGATTACAGGAAAAATATAGCGAGGACAATTGGAGTTGATGTTCATATTGTTTTTAAGGAAAACTCATATTTTTAGAAAAAATCATGGATTTTTCGAATAAAAAAACAAGAAAATTTTATTCTAAGGGATCTAAATTTATACTTTTTTACGTATTTTTACGTGTAGATTACAATAAAAATATAGCGAGAACGATTGGAGTTAATTATCATAGTGTTTTCAAGGAAAAACTGATAATTTTCGATAAAAATCATGATTTTTCCCCAAAAAACGAAGAATATTTTATTTAAAGAGTTTCAAATTTATACACTTTTACGTATTTTTGCGTGTAGATTACAAAAAATATATAGCGAGAACTCCAATTGTGCTTGCTATATTTTTTGTAGTGTTTTGCCATTCTTTATAATTTGCCATTTTTGCCATTTTCTTTTTTTTACCATTTGCTATTTTTTTTATCTTTTGACATTTTTTATTTGTTGATATTTTTATTATTTGGTGAAATCTAAAAAAAATCATAAAATTGAAAATGTTAAATGATAAAAAAATTAAAAATTTTTTAAAAACTTATGATAAAAGTATCATTAAAGTATTAGGTATTCCATGCTCACATTACAGGAAAAATTAAGCAAAATTGGAATTTTTCCATCGGCCTTCACACTTTAAACCCCTCAAATTTTAGGATTAGGGGTACTGAACCCTCGGTTTTAATGCGAGTGTAACTCGCATTTGTCAGATTTTTATTTACAATTTACTATTGGAAAATACTTTTATTTTTATGATAAACTGACTTCAGAGGAAACAAATTTTCACTTATCCAACCCAGGGTACACCTGCTGAAATTTTCATAAAATTCTAAAAATGAATTTTGAACCATTAACTGTTTAGCTCTTGTTAATTTGCAAAGGAAAAAGAAAATCAGAAAGCCGGGTATTTTTCCGCAAGTTACCGTTTGTTATTCAAAATTACTAAAAGCAAATTTTGAATATACTATTCTAGATATATTCTAGATTATGTAATTTGATTGGACGTCAAAATCAAATTCATTTTAATGTCAATGTCAAATTTAATTTAACAAATTCATTGTTTTATTTAACTTAGACGTTAAATTAAAATTTAATTTTTTATTTCAATTTAACGTCGCATTAAAATTTATTTTTTGATAGCAATTTGACGTATTGCAATCAAAAAATAAATTTGACTTTGACGTCAAAGTCAAATCAAATTACATAATCGACTCCCAGGGTCGCCCGACCCAGTGACCTGTGCAATGCGTGTGGCCCCTGAGGGTTGACATCCTCGGTATACTTCCGTGTTAGATCACAAGCAATATTGGTTGACAATTATTAATTATGGAATTAATTAATAATATTAAATCCAAAAATATGAAGATCTTCAACATCGAAATCTTCTTTCTCATCCGGCTGATCAAGTTTAATAAAGTAATACAAACAACAATCTGATCAAAATGTGGATTTCTCTACTTATTATTGCTTTTCTTTAATAATAATTTGTACATATTCAATTCTTTCTTTTTACAAATTATTATAAACAAAAATATGAAGTAAAACTTACAAATATAAAAGATATAAAATTGTTTTAAAAAACTTATGTATAATCTTTTTATATAATAATAACCAACAAAGAAAAATATAAAGGTTGAGTTCGGGTTTGGCTATTATTTTTCTTACTTTTTATGAAAAACGAGTTATTTAGATAGGACCAGAAATTTTCGACAATAATCTAGTTTTCGGCGAAACTCTTGAAAACTGACTTTGAACTAGGTAACTAATTTACCACGTTACATTATATATTAGAAATAAATCTAAATGTTCCCTTACAATTTGTTCCCGAAGATATCAGTTTTATATTCGTTATTTTATTTATGGGTAGAAACTGTATTATTATTTATAATGTATCGATGTACTAATCTATTTATTTGCCTGCTTTGACAACTTTTGAAATGTTTTAATACTTACAATTAAATTTTAGGCCAGAAAAACCGCTTTTAGAAAGGAGAGAGTCTCTTGAAGAAGCAGAGGAGAGAAGGAGACAGTTGGCTGCTAGATTGGCTCTAGGTCTTGAGCCAGCTAAACGAAAACCTGAAGAAATACCTATTCCGCCTGCGGAAGCATATGTTGTGACACCACATCGTAAACGAAGGCCTGGGTTTCACAATTCTCCTGCCCAGAATCCTGCATTTGTACCTTTTAACCCCGGGTTTGAAACTTCGCGGAGGTTACAGGCTCCACATCCGCTCAGTATTTCTGCTCCCCCGTATTTGGTAATTGAAATTTTACTTTTATTTTTTACTATAAATTTAAGGTTAACAAATGATATCTCATGTTTAAAAAGCTTTTTAAAGTAATTTTTTAAAATTTCTTCTTCAATAGTTATAAAAGTTTATTTATAACATTTGGTAGTTAAATCACCTGATCGTCGCAGGGTAAAATTAAGTGGAAATATTAGACGGTTATGAAATATTATACTGTAATATTGATGTAAAATTACTCTGTAGAGCGACTCCACGTCAAGTAATCGCTCTGATTTTTGTTGTTTTAGTAAATTTTTATAAAAATTGATAATTTGTGTTTCTTAAACGGTAAATATAAGAAATCCCAACTATTTTTAAAAAATTCAAAATGTTACAAATATAATTCTTTTGTAATTTTATAAATAGTCTTTCATGAAAAAAATATTTTAAAAAAATTATAAAATTTTAATTGTTATTAAAAAATAATTTTAATTATTTAAATAAATCGAAAAGTTTATTTTCGATTTTTTTTAAATTCATGAACATTCTTTACAATGTCCTGAAAAATTTAAGACCTTGAAAACATGGTATTCCTCATAGTTATAGAGAAAAAATTATTTAGATTAAAATTTTGCAGGACATTGAAGAGAATGTTCATGAGTTTTTTTTAAATCGAAGATATACTTTTCGATTTATTTAAACAATTGAAATTGTTTTTAATAACAATTAAAATTTGACAATTTTTCTTCTTCATTATTTTTTTCATAAAAGAGCATCTAAATACGAGTTATTAATAAAAAAATAATCTGATTGGGTAAAAATTACGGAAAATATAATAAATCAAAAAAATTAAATTTGCAATATTTTGAAAAATATTTTGAATTTTTTCTGAAATATTTGGAATTTATTATTTTAACTCTGAAAGGAACCCAAATTATCAATTTCATACAAATTTACCAAAATTACAAAAATCGATGCGATCACTTGACGTGGAGTCGCTCTGTATTATGAATAAACAAAAAACTCCAAGAGGTTTTTGGTCTTAAGAAAACAGTTACTCAAGTAATTTTATCATTTACACATAAAAAATTTTAAAAAAAATTTTTTTAACATTCAAAATAACAGGAACAATTAGTTACGTTATTAGAAATATGTGATCGGGTCTGAGAAAACGGTGTTATCGACCAAAAAATTGGTCAGATGATAGTTTACATAATAACTTAAAGAAATTAAAACGTCAGCTGGGTGTAGCATGGCGGATTATACGTCAGCTGGCCATCCGAACATGTAAAAAAAAATATGTTTTCAGTGATTTCGACATTTACGAATTTTAAGGTACTTCAGTTCTTGCAAATGAAAATATATATTATATGCTTATAATATTTATTTCAGGACAAATTACCTTTAAAACAATATATTCTATCCAAACATATATACGCTAAATTTATTTTGAATTAATAAATTAAATAAAACATGATGTTTTATTATATTTACTAATATTTTATGCTCCATTCATATATAACAGACAATTAAGAATTGTTTAATTAAAATAAAAAAATCAAATTACAACCTCCTGCACGTACAAGGAGTTGGATTTCAAACAACTTTGGAGGCGTTATGTTTATTATATAAAAATTCCTGTGATGTTTGTTGATTTATTACATTATTATACATCATGTATTATATACTTTATTATATAGATATTATCATCTGCTATTTGACGGGGGGAAATTTTCTCAACTAACTTCTAAAAATAAGCGATAACTGCTTATGCGCGGCTCTTACAGCGCACCGTTCACTGACCCAGCTGACGATGTTTCCACCCACATACAGCCAGCTGACGTTTTTATTTTTTTAAATTGGGATGTAGACAATCATCTGGCTAAGTTTTGATTGAGAGGAAATCACTGAAAACATAATTTTTTTACATGTTCGGATGTCCAGCTGAAGTATAATCCACCATGCTACCCCCATCTGACGTTTTTATTTCTTTAATGTAAACTATCATCTGACCGACTTTCAGTTGGGAGCAATGACTAAAGAAAAATTTTTTTTACGTCATTGGGGTGGTGTAACTTCCCAACCCACTGTCAGTAGGGTAGCTGACAATCACGAGGCTTCATGACACAACTGCCCCAATTATTTCACTAATTATCAGTCGAGAGGAAATGACAGACCAAAATCTGTCGCTGGCTCCCGGACTACTACTTGTTAGGTTGGTTCCACAATAGACAAAATCGTACCGTCCTGAAGACGATTTTCAAAACGAAACGATTGGCGACAATAGAAAAAGCATACGCGCGCATCGTTTTGGCATGAAAATCGTCTTCAAGGCGATACGATTTTGCCTATTGTGGAACCAACCTTACATAAACTACATCGCGGTATTTTTAAGTCAGCTACACAATATTTTCCTAATGCTTTTTCAGACTTATCAACTAATTCCACCGTTGATTGAATTCTGAACCCAAAAATTTTCATATCAATGCTGGTCCTAAATAATTGTAAGCCAATTTAGTAGAATAGTTCTTGGCCTTATTACTCAGCTTTTTATTTGGGTAATAAACATCAGTTCCTTCTTTTAACTCGACGACAGAAGACCTTCTCGTGTTAGCAATAGCAAGACGTTTTTCATTATATTTTTGTAATATGTTTTCGACTTTATGTCTAAAATCATCAATCAAATTCATACGACCAGCCCAAAAGGAAATAGCTTTCCTACCATGATTACAATGCCGGCCTTAGTCCTTTCAGCGCCTCGTGGAAGAATTTCACGGCGCCCTCTTACCCGGCAATATTTCTTATAGTTTTTCTCAACGTTTTTATTTAAACAAATTTTTAGATCATTATTTGTAAATAAAAATTACTATAATTGATAGAATAAAAAACTTCTAGTATAACTATTCACAGGTAATATATATTTTTACGAAAAATATTAATGGACAAAAATTGAGTATAAAAAGAACAATATAATTATCAATCTAGTGAACTTTGCAAAATTTCTGCACGTCGATCAGTATTAATATTTTTACCAACCCTACATAACCTTGGCTTGCGGAAGCGAGATATCTGTATACAGATTTCCCAAAAGTCCTTAAGCAAAAAAAAGTCATTTTGCATTAATGACTTTATTCAGAATTTGTATCTCAAATAATAAACAAAAATTTTTTTCTTATTGTGTTTTAGACATTGGGAATTAATTGGTAAAAACGAAATTTGTACAGTTATGCACGAATCTTATCTGTCAGTAAAATTAAAAAAAGAGAATCAAACTATACTTATCCGAAAATATTCGCAGCTTATACGGTCTTGTCCGTAAGCTATACATTTTTTGGCCGAATTTTGTATGATCTTATCCGAAAAGAAATTTAATGTATCCGATATTTTAAGCAGGGTACTTGCCTTAGACTCTACTGAAAAATCCTACAGAGGTCCCTACAAAGAATCCTCCAGCATTTCATGTAAATTCTTATAGGATTTTTTTATAGGAACCTATATAAATTTCCACAAGGGAAAATCCTGTAGAAGTTTTTCGATAGGATTCATTATGTCTTCCTATAAGCCTCCTATAGGAGTTCTCCTGTATGATTCATTATGTCTTCCTGTAGGTCTCATATAGGAATTTATATAGTTTCCTACGTAGGATCCTACATAGGATGTCTCAAAAATGAAAATCGACGTGCGTTAGCTAAAGAATCTATATACACTAACCTAACCACCATAGGTTCCTGTAAAGACCCCTATAAGAATTTACAGGAAATCCTTGTAGGGACGAATGTAAGATTTTCCAGTAGGGAAATCAATGTAATTTTCTCACATCTTAATATTCTAAAATATTTTAGGTTTGATATACACTTTCTTTCACGTCTGTAACAGATCAATTCTAATAAAATTTGACATAAATAATTAATATTCACATTTTTAACCAGTCACTTGTCAGATTTTCTGGCCAGTTACTGAACAGTATCTAGAAATACTCTCCAGTGACTGGTCAGTACTGAGTGGTAATTTCTACCTGGGCAGCTTGTCAAGCGGTATTCTGATTTGCTCTTAATAAATATTATTAGAATACTTCAAAAATTACAAGAGCAAGATTATAAAAACATTAAATTTCTGTGTTAGGTAATTATGTAAATACTCTACAAAATTTTATGAAAATATTACTCAGTGTCATTTATAATCGTACAGTAACATAAACAAAAGTAGTAAATTAACACTTTTAACATAAGTTTTACAGGTTATGTTTGAATTATACTGATCATAAAGTAATTTTATAAATTTCTGAATAATTAAAAGTTAGCCTATGTCATAAACTTATAAAATATTTTTCAGAGTATCTATTACAGAAATCTTGTACAGTCAGGTATTTTCGAAGTGAACGATCTAATTTTTGGGTTCCGTACACCTTCGGTGGACAGGCAGAACCCTTATGAAAAGATTCTTGCGTCCGTCCCAGCTAGGTATCCCCCCTTGCGGTTACAGTATTTGATATAGAGAACTGAAATTTGGTACATATATGTATTTTTACATGTAGATTACAGGAAAAATATAGTGAGTCCGATTAAATTCGACAGTTACGAGCTAGGCAGGAAAGAAATCGATTTTTTCAAAAAAATTGCAAAAAATGACCCTGTTCTCCCCTTAACTTCTACATTTTTGTATATGAAGAACTGCAATTTAGTACACATACGTGTTTTTACATGTAGATTACAGGAAAAATATAGCAAGTCCGATTTACATATAAAAAAAATGTTTATTATAGTCGTTGAACGGAACCCTCGAATTAGAGCGAGTGCAACTCGCACTTGTTCAATTTTTCAATTTAAAACTGACAGATGTAAAAAAAGCGAGCCTCTCTGTTGACGAATTATTTTCCAGGTACAGCAGGGAAATTTTTATTGTCATATTCTTGTTCCCTAATGTCTAAAATATAGAAATATTAATTTGGGGTAATTATAATAATTAACGTATACTTTTAAAAAATTTAGTCTAAATAGGAACGCCAATTTGGTGTTTTCGCCATCCTAAAG